GCGCAAAGAAGAGCTACCCCCCGAGAAGGGCAAAATGAGGCCAAAACCTTAGTAAAATCAATGATTTTGCTATGAAGGACGATGAGCGCTGCCCCCATCAAAAGTCCAAAAATGAGGCCAAAACCATAGTAACATCAATGTTTTTGGCTTCGCAGACGAGGAAAGGGACTTATCTCCGTCCCCCCGTCGGGGCCAGAATCCTCGTGAGGGTCGTCGTTTTTTAGCCCTCCCAGGGGGAGGGGGTAGGGGGAGGGGTAAACCCCTCCCCGAAGGGGAAGAAGGGGGGTTGAGGACAGAGAGAGGGTTCGCTAAACCACTCACGCCCAAAGGGCTGGTGGGACTTTGGGGGGCCTCGTGGATGGCCCTGGGTGGGTCCTCTTGGTGGTCTCTTTGGGGGGTCTGCCTGGCCTCTTGGGGGCCTCCTGGGAGCTTCCCGGGGTCTCGGCTTGTTGGGGGCCTCTTGGGGCTCTCGTGGGGCTACTTGGGGGCTTGCAGGGGCCTTTCGGGGGCGTGTTTGGGCGGGGAGCTCAAAATTTCCGTTCAGGTTGCCCCTGTGGACCTCAATGGGGCCGTCTTGGGGCCTCTTGGACCGTCTTGAAGGTTTCTTGGGCCTTCTTGGGGCGTTCTTGGGCCGTCTTTGAGCGGTCTTGAGGGTCTCTCGGGCCGTCTTGGGGTGATTTTGAGGGCCTCTTGGACTCCTTTGAAAGGTGTGAAAGACGAAGCGGCGGCTATGGTAAAAATGCACGCTTTCCTACGGGAGTGAACTGATTTTTGCTTGTGGGAGCCCTCGCGGGGCGCCGCTTAGGGACCTCCTTGGGACGTCTTGAAGGCCTGTTGGGCCGTCTTGAGGCCTTCGCAGGCGCTTGGGAGTGATATTTCGGCGTCTCCGTGCTCTCTTGGACCGTCTGGAGGGCTTCTCGGGCCCCTCTTGGACCGATTTGGAGCCCTCCTGGGCTCCGGGATAGAGTTATTGAGGGTTTCTTGGGCCTTTTTGGAGCGCTCTTGGGCTGTCTTTGAGCGGTCTAGAGGGTCTCTCGGGCCGTCTTGGGGGCCTCTTGGACCGCCTTGATAGATGTGAAAGACGAAGAGGCGGATATGTTAACAATGCAGGTTTTCCTAAGGGAATGGGACGATTTTTGATAGTGGGAACCCTCTTGGGACGCCGCTTAGGGGCCTCTTAGGGACCTCGCGTCTTGAAGGCCTGTTGGTCCGTCTTGAGGCCATCGTAGGCGCTTGGGAGTGATATTTCGGCGTCTCCCGGCTCTCTTGGACCGTCTGGAGGGCTTCTCGGGCCCCTCTTGGACCGATTTGGAGCCCTCCTGGGCTCCGAAAAAGAGTTCTTGAGGGTTTCTTGGGTCTTCTTGGAGCGCTCTTGGGCCGTCTTTGAGCGGTCTTGAGGGTCTCTCGGGCCGTCTTGGGGTGATTTTGGGGGCCTCTTGGACCGTTTTGAAAGGTGTGAAAGACGAAGAGGCGGATATGGTAAAAATGCACGCTTTCCTGCGGGAGTGAACTGATTTTTGCTTGTGGGAGCCCTCTTGGGGCGCCGCGACCTCCTTGGGACGTCTTGAAGGCCTGTTGGGCCGTCTTGAGGCCATCGCAGGCGTTTGGGAGTGATATTTCGGCGTCTCCCGGCTTTCTGGGACCGTCTGGAGGGCTTCTCGGGCCTTTCTTGGACCGTTTGGAGCCCTCCTGGGCTCCGAAAAGGGACCTTGCCTGGAGTCTGCCGGGAGTCTGCCGGGACCTTGCGGGGACCTTGCCGGGAGTTTGCCGGGACCTTGCCGGGACGTTGCCGGGACGTTGCCGGGGTACTTTTTGTCCGGGGACCCCCCGGGCCCGCCCCGCGCGCGCGAACTAGAAATATTGTTGAGCAGTTACCGGAGATCTTAACACGCCTCTGGCCCGTTGGGCCGGCGAATTTAGAAAATGGGGAGGGTTTCCTGGACCGGGGGGGTGCCCACTTTGCCGAGTGGCTGTGCCCCCCCCCCCCCCCCGGAGGCGCCAGGACGCTCCCAGGACCGCCTAAAATGGCTCCAGGACGCCTTCAGGACAGCCCAAGAGAGGTCCGAAACGGCCCAGGAACACTCCAAGACGGCTCCAGATGGCTCCAAGATCGGCCACAAAGCTTCCAAAGCGTCCCCGCAGGCCTCCGACAGCACCCCCTGGAAGGACCGAAGAGATAAAAAGTAATGATTGTTTAGTGTTTTTGTTAAGGATTTGAGCGTTCTCCCCAGTTTTGTTCCCCGAATGGGGTGGGGGAGGGCCCAGAATTGCGACCTCTGGTTCGCATGGGGGACTGGGGGGCCTTGAGGGCTCCAAGAGGGTTCAGAAGGGGCCCCAGACACCCTCAGAGGCTCCCAAGCTGGCCCAACTGGCGCCCAACGCGCCCCAGGTTGTCTCGAAGGTGGCTGAGGAGCGCACTGACATGGCGTCTGGACGGGCCGCGAGCGCCCGAAGACAGCCCAAGACTGCTCCTAGACGGCCACGCAGGCACTCAAGACTGTCCAAGAGGCCGCCGAGAGGTCCCCCAGACGGCCTGAAGAGAGCTTCAAGCAGCACAAGAGAGCGCCACCGCTGCCAAAGAGAGTACCGAGGAACCCCGATGGAGCCACAGGAGGATCCCCACATGGTCGGAGATGGCCCCCCGAGGGCCCCAAGACTGGCTCAGGTCCCCATGACGGGCGAAGAGGGACCCGGAACGGCCGAACTGGGCTCCCAGAGGGCCCCAAAAAAGGCCTATCAGGACTCCCTGAAGACCGTCCAGGAGGCCGCTGAGAAGGCTCCTGGGTGCCAAAACTAGCATTTCCAATGGAACAACGTACATTTCTATGATCTTCGCTTCTTATGTTCCATCATCGGCCACGTCGGCCCCAAAGGCTCCCCGAATCGGCGCCACACGGTCCACGAGGCCCCCAAGAGGGCCCCAAGACAGCCTCAAGAGAGCGTCGAGCAGCACCAGAGAGCTCCGAAACAGCCCGAGAGAGTCCCCAGGGGGTCCGAGGGAGCCACCCGAGGATCCTTACATGGTCGGAAAGGGCTTCATGAGGGCCTTAAGACGGCTCAGCTACCCATGACAGGTGCCAAAAGGGGCTGGGGACAGCCAAACTGGGCTCCCAGACGCTCCACAAAAGGCCCAAAAGGACCCCCCCACGACTGTCCAAGAGGAAGGCCCTCCAAAGGCAAAATCAATCATTATCGATTCAAAAACGTACATTTCTGGGAGCTTCGCTTCTCAGTTCTACCAGCTCAGCGGTCGCGACGGCCCAAGAGGTTACCAAAATGGGCCCCAGACGGCCCCAGAGGCCCCATAGAGGGTTCCAAGATGGGCTGACGAGAGTTTCAAGCGGCACAGAAGAACTACAAGACGGCCCAAGAGAGCCCCCAGGAAACCCGAGGGGGCCACCAGCGGATTCCTACATGGTCGGAGAGGGCCCCAGGAGGGCTCCAAGACGGGCAATAAAGGCCCCAAAGGACTCCAAAGGAGGGCCCAGAGAGGCTCCAGAAACTGCCACAATGCTTTCAAAAAGGCTCCCGAAATGCGTTCCAGTAGGCACCCGTGTACTGGGTGCGCTGAAAGAAGAGAGGAGGGAGGTGGAGGAGGAGGAGGAGGAGGAAAAGCAGGAGGAGGAGGATTGTTGTGATGGTGATGGTGAAGGTGACCATGACCATGACGATGACGATGAAGATGACGGGGATGAGGATGACAATGATGACAATGATCATGACCCTAGCTAGAACTTGAGCGCGCGCGAATCGCGCGCGATGGTTTTAGTGTGTCTGTATACATGTGTATAACTTTGTGTGTAATATGTATATGTATACGTATGTGTTTATGTATATGTATATGTACATGTCTATGTATATGTATATGTATATGTATATGTATATGTATTTGTGTATGTACGTGTATATCTATATATGTGTACAGGTATGTATGTATGTATGTATGTATGTATGTATGTATGTATGTATAGATTTGCAGCCTCCCGAGAGACATGTTGGACGGGCCGATATCGTTTCGGTTCGAGCGCTTTGGAGAGATTAATTATCCATGGTAGCGTGAGCGGATGCGCCCCCAGCCCCGAGAGCGGCAGCCTGCGATAGAGCCGCGGCGGGCCAGGCCCGCGAAGGGCTCCTCGGCGCAGGCTAGAGCCCAGGCGCTGGAGGCGACCAGCCTCGCCGATCCAGACGAGAGCGAGGAGGATTTCGAGGTGCTTTCGGGGAAGGACATTGCCCAGGTGTGGGTCTCGCTGGCCGTGCGGCTGGTGAGGCTGGCCTTCAAGAGGCGCTGCTGGGCACACCTCGGACAGCACCTGTGTACGATCAAGAGACGTGGTCAAGATGGCAGCGACGGTCCAGGACGTCCAGGCGCTGCGACAGGTTCTCGAGCAAGTGCAGGGAGAGCTACGGCAAACCCGAACGGATGCGGACGCCGCGATTAGGGCGGCGCAGGAGGCAGCGCAACGGGCTCAGCAGGTGCTCGGACAGCAGGGAGCAGCCGCAGCGGCGGCGCAAGTGCCAGACCCTGGACCAGAGAGGATGGCCGCGGAGATGAAGATGATGAGCAAACCTGATATGTTCGATGGGGCCAAGCCGCCGTGGAGAGACTGGTCATTTGTGTTCGAGGCGTTCGCAGGTGCGACGAATCCAAACATGGCGGCGGCAATGGCATGGCGGCGGCAATGGCCACGAACCTCGAGCCCGGGGACATGCAGCTGTCCAGGACGTTGGGGTACTGGCTCATCCAGACGTGCAGGAGCCAGGCGCTCGACGTGGTTATGAATGCGGGCCAGCTCGAGGGGTTCGAGGCTTGGCGACAACTACACCTTCGATTTGAGCCACAGGCGGCGAGCATATACGCTGGACAGTTGAGGGGGGTCAGCCTGTATGAGTCGGCGTCGGAGGAGACCCTCTCTGACGCGATCAAGGTCGGCATCGTGCTGAGGCAGTTGCCCGAGTCCCCGCTGAGGTAGCACATGATCATGAATGCGGAGAGACTCAAGGAGTGGCCCAAGCTCAAGGAAGAGATCCTGAACGTCCGACGAGCCCAGGCCGCAGCGGTGGCAGCGCAGAACGGGGTGGCCCCGATGGATCTCTCTGCGTTCAACAACCAGGGTGGCAAAGGGCGCTGCAGGATCTGCAATGGCAAGGGCCACGACGAGAGGAACTGCTGGCACCGCAAGGGCGGGGCCGGGACAGGCAAAGGCAAGTCGGACAGCAAGGGCAAGTCGAGAGGCGACTCCAAGTCGAAGGGGTCCTCGAAGGGCGGAAAGGCAAAGGGCGGCAAGGCCGGCAAGGGGCCGAAGTGCTTCAACTGCCAGGAGCACGGGCGCACGTCCAAGGACTGCCCGAAGAAGAAGAAGAAGAACAACTTGCGCATGATGGAGCCGGAACCCGAGAAGGCGCTGCGCGGGCTGTGGCTCGCTCCGTTCACGGTCGACGAGAAGGGCGCGGCGCAGAAGGCCTTCGACCTGCTGATCGAGGGGGCCTGGTGGGCGACAAGCTGGTGCACGAGCTGAGCAGGCTCGGTGCGGACACGGCGCGGGCGTCCCGCAAGATGGTGCTCGGTGTCGACTCGTGTGCAGCTACGACGGTCGTGCCATCGGAGCTGGCGCCTGACTACCCGACGTACGAGAATGACATGAGTGCGAAGGGCGAAGGCTACAGGACCGCGAACGGCGGCTGGGTGGCTGACGAGGGCGCTAAGGAGCTCATCGGGTCGGTGCGCAACGCGGGCGGCTCGGCGCAGGTGAGGGGCATCAAGGCTAGGGTCGCGAAGGTCAGCAAGGCACTCGCCTCTGTCTCAGAGATGGTCGACGCAGGCCATCGGGTCGTCTTTGATGCTGGCGGCAGCTATGCGGAGAACAAGTCGACAGCGGTGATTACACCGTTCCAGAGGCGCAACAACGTGTACGAGATGGAGATGGAGCTGATGCCGTATAGCAAGGCGAAGGACGTGAAGGGCCGCGCGGGGGCCTGGTCCAAGCCCAGCGCGAGCGGCAAGAAGCTGAAGGAGATCTGCATGGTGAGGAGCGATGGCGCAGGTGATGGAGCTGGATCGAGTCAGGCAGCTGCGGCGGCAACAGCAGCAGAACCAGTCCAAGAACCTGTTCAACCAGAAGCGGTACCTTCCGCCGCCTGCCCCGGTGGTTGCTCGGGGGCGGCCGGCAGTGAGAGCGGCGCGAAGACCGCGCGAGCCGACCCAGCAGGAGCGAGAGGACCATGAAGTGTCGCGCGCGCCGTATCGAGCTTGGCGCAGGCACTGCGTTGCAGGGCGCGGGCGAGCTGAACCTCATGTGACGAGGAGCCACGCGGAGGATGCGATGCCAGTCGTGGCGTTTGACTACGGCTACTTCGGCAGCGGCGAGGACGCCACCCCAATTTTGTTCATGAGGGACTCGCTGCGCAGGTACACGGGCGCGGAGGTGTTGACCTGCAAGGGGGCGGCGCGCGCGCACAGTGCCAACATGCTGGTGAAGTTCGCGGTCAACGGCGGCTGCAAGAAGGTGGTCTTCAGGTGCGACAGCGATCCGAGCATCGTCGCCCTGAGGGACGAGGCCGTCAAGAGGCTCAAGAAGGACCGCGGCATGGAGTGATTGCTGGAGACCTTGGCGGTTGGAGAGTCGCAGTCGAACGGTCTAGCTAAAGGGGCTGTCAGAGAGATCAGGGGCCTGACGAGGGCCCTCAAGCACGCGGTGGAGGAGATTCACGGAGTCACGATCGGCCCGGAGCACCCGTGCCTGCCGTGGATGGTGAGGCGCGGCGCAGCAGTCCACAATCGAGGTCAAGTGGGCTCGGGCGGGCGCGCGCCGTACGAGCTGAGGAATGGGCGCGCTTATAAGAGGGCGCTCCCGGCGTTCGGTGAGGAGGCGTTCTACCTGCCAGTCGGCAAGAGGGAGTCGAGGCTGGTGGGCAGGTGGCTGGAGGGCGTCTTCTACGGGATCCGCGACGACAGCGACGAGGTGTACGTGGCGACGCCGAAGGGCGTGATGAGGGCCAGGAGTGTCAAGAGGATGCCATTGGCAGCGAGGAGTGACAGGGCTCTTTTCTCAGAGCTGCAGGGCGCGCCGTGGCGACCTGTTCCTGGCCAAGGAGGTGAAGGGCTCGAAGTGCCACCTGCCATGGCGAAGGTGGCGGCGGATCAGGTGGTGCCAGACGTGGATCTGCCCCCTGTTCCAGGACCTGTGGGTCCTCCTGCTCCGAGGAGGGTCTACATCAGGAAGGGCGTGGAGCTGGGGCGCTACGGGCGCGCCCCAGGTTGCAGGGGCTGCGAAGCAGCTCGGGGCAACCAGCGTGCGATCATGCACGGCGAGGAATGCCGAGCGAGGGTCGAGAAAGCGATGGCGGACGACCAGACGTTCGGCGGTGGAGCTCGGGTGACAGAGGCCCACCTACGGCGAGTAGCTGGCCAGCGACCCGAGAGAAGTGAAGACGAAGAACCTGGAGCCAAGCGAGGACGAATTGGTGATCGCGGACCAGTCGGGGAACCAGGAGCGCCAAGCTCATCTGGGACAGCGTCGGAAGCGTTCCAGCGGTGGCGGAAGTTGCCATGGGCGACGCGGCGGAGATTGGTGCGCTGCTGGAACAGCTTGGTCTCGACAGCTTGGATTTGCAGGAAGTGTTCAACCCAGGGGAGTTCGCCAAGGGAGCTCCAAAGTTCAACCTGAAGCCAGGCGTAGCGATGGACCTCATGACGGGCTGGGACTTCCGGCTCGAGGAGCAGCGGAAGCGAGCGAGAGCGGAGATCGAGGAGGGAGACCCTGCCTTCTTCATCATGTCTCCTGTATGCGCCCCGTTCTCACAGCTGATGGAGTTGCTGCAGGCGAGCGGCGAGCGCGACGAG